TGAAAATAAAAATTAGAAGGAACATATCCCATTTTCACCATGTTTAAAAGCATTATTCGTTATGTGTAATCCACAACTGCCAATGAATATGACCCGGTGTGAATATTTCTCTTTTAATTCACACTGAAGCTTCTAATAGAATTTCCAATTGACATAGGGTCCATCCATGGATAATTGAAGTATTTTAGAGAGCTTTTAACCTTCATCCATGCATTTGTAAAAAGAGGACAAAATATTTTCTGCAGTTCCATGGGGAGTTAGATACTTAGGGAATATGCATAAATAAATTGGGGAGTTAGATACTTAGTGCAAACTTTATTATCAATTCCTTACCATAATGTCCATCTGCTTAGATTGTAGAGACTGATTTAACGTCTCATCAAAGAGTACAGTGTAGCAATCAACATTCTTCAGCTCATTTATAAGAATCCCTTTGAAGTATAGTGCCAATCCAAAGGAGCTCAAATAGGCTCACTTTGTAGCACTACAAAAAAACTGTCTCACTATACAGCTATCAGCAAACATTTTGGAGAACAATTTACTAATCCTTTCACAGGAGTTACATGAATAATTACTAGTGATGCACTTCAGACTCCAGAGAACTTCAGCATCAAGCACATTCCTTTTGACCAGATAAGAAGACAATGTTACCTCGGCCACTAAAGTTTCTGTTTCACATGGGGCACACGGTGGTGAAGGAGTATTTACACCAGATGAATTAGATGTTGATGTCTTTGGAAAAAGAGAACGCAGGGCATGAGACTGCTTTTTTGTTTTACCTTTCTTTGATGTGTGATTTCAGAGCAGATTCTTCCATTTTCGCGATATCGATCTCCTTCATGCATAATCGGCACTTGGCTCTGAATTTCTTTTCGGGCATCGATAAAATCCATTCTTTATAAGCTTGATTATCCATCCATTGGGGATTAAAATAGCACTTCCCAGGCATAATTAGTATAAACTACATAACACAAATACGCAGTGCCGGCTTATGCATGTCGCCCCCCCCCCATCTTCTTCTAACTTCCTAATATATTTTTTCGCTAACACAACACTTTATTCATAATTACGCTGTTTTTTACTACATAGGTATATTATCACATTATTCAATAAAAATATTGAATCAAACGAAAAGAGTATAAGTAATTAATATACGCATTTAAAAAAATCATACAATAAGCTTAAATATTAACTCTTCTAACTATTTTTGTTACAAAATCGTTCAAGACATCATGAAAGTTAACCTTTTCCAATACATCATTTTCAATTGCCATTATGGCCAATGAATTTGAACGGTTTTGAGACATAGTTGAACGAAGACAGTTGTTAATTAATTTCAATTTGGAAAAGTTTCGTTCACCAGTGGCGTTTGTAATCATTAGACTTCTATATATTAGCAAAGCTGTCATTACATTAGGGAAAGTTGATTGTGCCATGTTACCAATAATCAGTTTGTAAGACTCCTCGGCAGGCACAATTTTTTTCCGGCGTCTTCTAATTGTAAGATGAAGTACTTATACTGCACCATTTCGTCCTGCTTAATAATAAACACCCAAACAAATAATATTTGATAACGTTGAAATTAAATAAAATATGTAAGTAATTGAATAATAAAACGGCACTTCACATTTGTCAAGTCCTGTATTAGGTAATAAAATATGTAAAAAATAATAAAACTTACGTATAGTAATTTTAACTTCAGTTTACACTACACGGATTTTTACTCGTCGTTTCACCGATTTTCTCGAAGCCCGAAGCACTTCTGCAGTCTTTATAAATGAATATCCAATACTTAGCTCTAAATTCGTAAGTTTTGAAACACAAACTGTAAAACTCTCTTTTTATTCACAGCCGTAAAACTCGCAAACAAATTGCACGAAGCGAAAATTCAACGATTACATTAAAAATGTTTCAAAAATGTTGTCTATGACATAATACAACGTATGTATTTAGCGGATCGGGGAATACCCCAGTCATGCGACGAAAGAACCAGTACTGCCAACCTTATTTTTACATACTCTTTGGTATCTTGGCCATAGAATATACATACCTATGGTAGGTACCAGAACAGTAAGTGTGCATTCACAACGTAGAATTTTGCGCGTTTTTCAAGCGTGTTGTGTTAAAAATGCTGCTCTTGATGTATAGTCATCTGATTAGTCGCCGTTAAAATTACCGCGATAAAATTGCTTGCGATTATATTACTGCGTTATATATGAACTAACTACCATAATATTAATATCTAATTTGGAATGCGTTCAGAAATGTACTAAAATAGCGTCGATGTAATGTACAGAGCTAGACAATTGTTACTGAAATTTCGAATTCAATTTTTACTGTTTAAGAAACATTGACAATTTTTTTCTCTGTAGCACAGGGCCCCTAGGCAGTTGCCTACAGTGCCTAATGAATAAAACGGCCCTGCAAATACGAAGCCGTGCCTTTGCGAATACGCTTTACAATAAAGTTTTGAAATGACGCAAACGTAAGGACAAGTGCGGATGGTAAAACGGCAAATTTATTGAAAACTACAAGGTACATATTGTTACGAAATTCGAGAGTATTCCAGTTTCGATAAGAAAAAAGAAGATCTAAGCATATGCGACAGAAGATGAAGTGGAGTCTTGCCCCGAACGCACTGATTGTCTGCTGTGCTCCGCGCGCTTGGCAGACACCAAGACGCTAGGCCCGGTTAGAAACGGTGGCGTTAAAAACCACGTGAGAGAGCTCAGGAACAAAACAGAAAGAACGAGAAAGATCTGAGGGTGTTCTATAAAAATGGGCGCCGGCAGTATTGGACAAATTCAAGGACCTATCAAGTTTTTCAAGGACCTAAGCCATTTTTCAAGCACTTTCAAGGACCCAAATTTAGCAAAAAAAAATTCAAGGACTTTCAAGGACTCTCAAGGACCGTGGGAACCCTGCTATAGGTTAATCCGGCCCTGGCTGTCCTGCAAACCCATAATAAGGAACAATTAGCAAGATCTGTGTTTTATCTCTTAACATACAGTATCAGGCAAGACAAGCAACTGCCCTCCCTTAAAACTACTATGTCATATCCTTTTGTGAAATCGTTCATCTTATGACGCTGCATCATCACTTCAATGCAGAGAAAAAATGGTATTAATGGCAACAGTAATATATCATAAAAAAGAAGAAAAATAGCCTCATTTAGTCTACAAAGAAAACTAAAATTCGAAATCGCGATTCGTATGACATGAAAACATTGTATTATAAATATCAAAATTAGAAAAACTATGTGTCGGAGGGCAAAAAAAAATAACTGCAGAAAAAGCTATCACGAAACGATACAAAATTACAATGTAATATTCACAAATCAAACAACGTCAAAACGTGATAACTCAAAATCTGAACATCGCAATAACATCATAATTAGAAAGACCGTGTTGACAGGGTTGCCAACAAAACTGGAAAAAAAATTTCCTGTGTTTTCCCTGTACACATTATGCACTATATATTAAGAGGAAACAACAATTACTGTGCTCTTGTGTGAGCTATATTGAACTAACTATATTTATTAGTTTTAACTGCTGGAAAAACAGCTGAATATACTTAAATAATGCTATAGTAAATGAAATAGTTTAGTATAGCTGAAATATCATGGTTGAATATCCTATAGATTACACTTTAAGTGGTCACCATTTTTTAAAAGACAAAAATAAGAAACAAAATTCCCTGTANCGTCAATCTTTTTTTCGGCAATGCATTTCCCTGTTATTTTAGGTGATTTTTAAATTCCCTGTATTTTCCAGGTTTTCCCTGTTCTCCCTGTGGAGCGGCAACCCTGGTTGAAGGAGCCAAAAATAAATTATAAATAAATCAGGGTTCCCACTCTTTTAACAAGCAAAAATTAAGCACTTTTAAGTACTTTTTTGAAAAATTAAGGACTTTAAAAATAGTATAATTGTTTATTATCAAATATACATATGCCACCAGTGACAGTGGAAATTATTTACTTTTATAAAACAAATCAATAAATAAAAAAAAAATAATAAATAATTTTATTATAATGTAAGCACTGATATAATTGTAGTAATTAACAGGGCTCGCCAACGAAGTATCAAGTAACTTTTGCAAATTCGGGTCAGATTTTTTAAAAACATTTTCAGATTATTAAAAGTTAACGCCATTCAGATTGTAAAAGTTAATGTATGAAACTAATCTGTATTCCATTTTCAATGATTTCATTGAAATTTAATTGTAAAATTAAGTGCAGAAATTAAGTTATGCTATTTTTTTCATGTATATTAAAATTTAAAAAAAATAAAAACAGTATATTAAGTTGCAATGCTAACTGCATAAAATGATTATTAAACTCTAAGGATCTTTTAGTTCAGTAGATTTAAATTTTTATGTGGCAATCTGCTTATCCTTAGGAAATAAAAATAATAGTATAACAATCTATAACTTTCTTAAAAAAAATTTGCATTGTTGTTGTTAATTTACGTCGCACTAGAGCTGCACAATGGGCTATTGGCGACGGTCTGGGAAACATCCCGGAGGATGATCCGAAGACATGCCATCACAATTTTGATCCTCTGCGGAGGGGATGGCACCCCCGCTTCGGTAGCCCGACGACCTGCGCGCGAAGTCGAGCACTTTACGGTAGCACAGTTTAACGACACCCTCGCACACCCTCGGTCCCTACGCAGACTGATCCAAGTGGTCACCCACCCGCACACTGACCGTAGCCAGTGATGCTTGACTTCGGTGATCTGCTGAGAACCGTGTCTTAACAATCAGTCCACTGCGGGACAATTTGCATTGCAATAAAACAAATTATAAATAGATATCAAATATTTAACTTTCTTGTTCAAAGCAAATCATGCTTTCTTATATTAGTATTTTTGAAGAAAAAAAATTGAGGTTTTAGTCAAAAACCCAATAAACCCCAGGTTTTTTTTTAAAAAATACCTAGGTGGGCTAGGATTTTTCAAACCCTGTTTCTTACAGATCTGTTTCATTTTTAGTACAATCATGAATTTAAATATATGATATGCTTTCTATAAATTGACAGTTACTTGTTACACATTGAAATATTATACAAATTTATTGAATTCTTCAAGATTTTAGGAAATAGTTTTTGTTATAGATTCTAGATCAAAAAAAATTTCTGATACTTCTTTTCTTCGCATTTTACTTAATTCGTATAAGCAGATGTGTTATCAGTAGAACTGATTTCTTGAATTCTGTCAATTTTGAAGGTTAGTGTGGGTCTTCTACTTGGGAGCCTTAAAACTGCCCCCCCCCCTAAAAAAAGCACTATCTCCTCCATGTGCAGTATCCTCCATGTTCATAGTATTCTTTTCTTTTAGAATGCTTCACTCTCCTCATAGAGCATCATTTTAGGCGAAAGGTAGAATATATTAATGAAAGGACATGCTTTCTTTCCTCTTGCCAGTAAAGCGCCCCCACACACATTAATTGTTGTCTCTCTAAAATGCTTTACCCTTGATGCATGGTCTAATTCTGAGTGATAAAAGAGCAAAAAAATTTTTCGTAAAAATTGAGCTGAAAAATTTTTCCTATCAACTATAGTGATGCTAAAAAATTAAGGACTTTTAAAAACCTTGTACCAAAATTAAGTACTTTTAAGGGCCCTTATTTTCCAAAATAAAAAGTTAAGCAGTGTTTAAGGACCGTGGGAACCCTGTAAATGCAGATAAACTATCATCAAATGACATAAAATTGTGACGGAATCGTCCAGAATTGAACGTTTCAAAAAGGGTAATTACTACAATTTAAAATTTGCATGTCGTAACAACGTATTAAATATATAGGAATTAATTTGAAAAACCATAAGATAGCAGCCGAAAAACTAAAATAAACAACGCAGGCTTACAAAAGAAAAAAATTTGAATAAAAATAGCAATTGCTAAAATTGAATGTTCTTTATCAAAATATTTTCAGAAGAATAATTTCCATTTTTCACAAAAATGAGCCCTAAAAGTAAAACCTGCATCAAACCCAGGATATTATAATATTGCTTTATAATTTCCATGTAGAGCATACCCTATGCTTCCCATGAATTTAAAAAAAATTTTTTTTTATTAAATTCATTTATCAAACCTTGGTGACAGAGGATTAAGTAATTTAACAATAAAAAACATTAATACTTTATAAGAGATAATCAAACACTATTTATCCCACTAAATTTCTTAATCAAAAATAAGAATACACAATCTGAAGTCCATCCACCCGTATATCTGTTATGAATCGTAGCAAAACTTTTTCCTGCTTAAGTCACAAAATCATGTCATACTATATAAACTATATACAATGCAAAATTTGACTCCATGCCAAATGGGTGAAAACACTTGCACAGAGGGAAATTTTGACACAAAGTACACATGCCTGGCGCTCGCCTAATCAAACTCTCTGACTGAAGTAGATTTTGGCTCAAAAATGCTTAATTCACAGACTTTCCCTTGATTTTTTAGACAATTACCGAATTCTCTGTCTTTTACCAGATTTCTAGACTTTCCAGGTAGCGTAGCAACCCTGATGTAAATAAATATTAAAGGTGAAAATTGTATCTATAATTTGGACGAATATACACATGAAAATATTATCAATCAACCATGGAAGGTCTCCTAAAAATCACAATACCACATTAATTACCAATTTTAAATAATCAAAAATCTTCAGCAAAATGTTAAGAATCAAGCTTTTAAAAAAATATAGTCCTGAATGTGTTTGCATTAACATGAACTGATAAAAGGAGCCATTTTTATGTGACAATCAATACTTTCACGAAAATTGACATTGGTTGTCTTTAGATTAAAACATTTTAATATGGTTTATTAAAACAATATTTTTGTAATAGTTAAAGCACATACATGCAAGCTATAGCTCTCTCCTTTACTTCCTGGTCAATATCTGCTGCTTTCAATCTCACTAAAGTGCATTCATAGAGAGGGTGAACGAATGGTACAAAATCAAATGGGGTTGATTGTTGATCTACAAAATAAATAGCCATTTAAATAATCATAAATTAGACATGAAATAATAAAAAATTAAAACATAACACAGTAAAAAAATAAAACAACAGAACAATACTAGTTAAGATGAGAAAACTAACCTAAGGGCCTTAAAACTTTGACTAGCTGCTGCAGAACCAAAAGTGCCTCAGAAGTTATTTTGTAAAATACATCTCCAACAGCATGCACAAGAGGCTACAAGCATTGAAGGAGAAAAATAAGTAATTACATCACAGCAACAAAAGTTATCATTTAACATGTTTATTTTGCTCCTAGAACAAAACTTACTTTAAAAAATTCAGTACAGGGTGTGTAGCCAAATTATTCAACAAAAAAATAAGCACCCTTTAAGAACCCAAAAAAATATTTTTAAGCACTTTAAAAAAATATCATAATTCAGGGATGAGATTGGCCAAAAGGTAAAAAAGCTGAATTTCCACGCGAGTAAATTTTACGCGCATGCAATCATTTAATAATAAATTCCAGACAATTTAAGATAATAAATTACTATGTGATGACATAAAATTGCGTACTCGTCTATTAATATATGAATGATTACATCGATACTTTTTAAGTAGATTTAGTAAAAAGTAAAATTACCAATTGAAAAAATAAAGCTAGAAATTATATTTTTCTTCAGTTCACAAAAAGGAGAAAATTAATACTTGAGAAACTGCCTAGTTTAGCAAATTAAAGCTACTGAGAGCATTCCCTTTCTTTTAATACTGTTATGTGATTTATAACAAATATATCAGTAACATGACTTTTTAAATTATTTAGAAAAGAAACTTTTACAATTCGAATCACTATGTTCATATTATAATCTAATCTACCTAGAGCCCTGTGAAACATGTCAATAACTGTGAAGTAGAAACATATATTAAACTCCTTAACATACGAAAATAGCTATTTTAGTTTGAAAAATTACATGATAACCAGCAGCTGTTTATATAATTACTTTTCATCTGATAAGAATTTTGCATTTTATAGCATAAATAACAGCAGCATTATTTTTTAAATTTTGATGCTGAGTTTAGCAACGCCTTTTCCAAAAAAATTTGAATCACTTTTTAAGTGATTGCTTTTGTTTGCTATATCTTCTTTTTATTTTTGTTTAATTTACTGCAAATGCTTCATGTTTTATAAAACAAGTAAAAAAACTTTTAAAAAGGTCAAATTGCTCGTAATGCAGCTTGTGAATGAATGAGGGGAAACAGATTGGTGATTGATTTAGTCATTAGACCATCATCAAACATATTTTGACAAATCCTTTTTTTTCTTTCTTTACCTGCTTGTGTCACATTCTTTGCAAGCACAGAATGTAAGTTTTGAATATGCTTATACATACTAATAACTGTTGATAGAAAAAAAGTCACATTTATAGTAACTAATTAAAGAAAAACTTACTTCGTACAAGAATTGCGACAATTTATTTTATAAGCGTGTGAATACAAATAGCGATCTTGGATTTTAAAATTGTGTGAATATGAATCACGATAATGGATTTTTAAATCACGCGAATAGGAAATTCGATTCTAAAAAATGAGAAAATACAAATTGCGTTATAGAATTTTTAAATAGCGTAAATAAAAACCACAATTCATAATTTTTAGATTATGTAAATATGAATCACGATGCATAATTTTTAGATAGCGTGAATGTGAATCCCAATGTCTTATACTAAAACCCCGTATAAATATGAAAATCGATGTTTAATATTAAATCGCATGTATAAGAATTGTAATATTAGCAGATTTCGGGTTGGGGACGTCTAAAAGGCTCGTTTGAAGCAGCGACGTCTTAATTATTAAAAAACGAGTTATCTAGCGGTCGGGTAAAAATGCATCTTCTGCACGTAAAAGAGGAGAAAATAGCTAAAATAAGTAAAAATGCGGAAGGGTTGGCAGCAATGTAGTTTGAATTATCTTTTTATCTTTGAAAATCGGAAATAAATAAAAAAAATTATTTCAACGGCTGAATATTCTGCAAAAGCGGAATATTTATTCTTAAAAAAAAAAGTGAAACTTTTAAATAATCGGAGTTTTTGATAAAAAGGCTGAAATTCGAGAAACAAAAGTGAAAAAAGCAGAAATCCGCTGAAGTGCGGAAAAATCTCATCCCTGATAATTAGATAAGGTTGGAACGTTTTTGACAATTGATGGTTTTATCTTGTTTTAACTGTTGTTGGCGCGCATGCGCGTCAGCGCCCCAACCGGCAGAAGATTTTGTAACTTCCACAATGACAGACGGCTCTCATGTAGCTCCGTCTAATTAAAAATAATACTTCTGAAATCGCTTTTAGCGATAATTAAAATAAATAAAAAATAAATCATCTCTTTTTTTAAAGAGTGGTCCGTCTTATAAATTTTTTCTNTTTTATTCCACCAAAATCACCCCATTTTGGTGGTCTTTGGGAGGCGGGTGTAAAATCAGTAAAACATCATCTTAAAAGAGCAGTTGGAAAATTTCATTTCACTTACGAAGAAATGGAAACAATAGTTATTCAAATCGAAGGAATTCTGAATAGTCGCCCCCTTTGCCCCTTAAGCGGTGATAATGACAGTTTTGATGTTTTAACACCAGGTCATTTCCTAATAGGGAGGCCTATAACATCAATTGTCGAACCAAATTTAACTGATCTCAATGATAATCGTCTAAGTCGGTGGCAGAAAACTACAAAAGTTGTACAACTTATATGGGAAAAATGGAAGTCGGATTACTTAAATACATTACAAGCTAGATCAAAATGGATGGTAACAAAAAATGATTTAAAGATAGGACAGATGGTACTTGTAAAAGAAGATTTCTTGCCTTTAATACCTGGATTTTAGGCCGAATAATTTATGTTTATCATGGTTCGGATAATAAAGTGCGTGTAGTAAAAATTCGCACAAAATCTGGGGTATTTAAAAGAGCTGTTTCTAAAATAGCTGTCTTGCCTATCGATACATAAAATAATAAAAAATACTGTATTTTTCATAATGTTATATATTCTGTTTTACATTTTATAATGTTTATGTTTTATATTGTTAAGTATGTAATATTTGTGTCTATTTTTTAAATTTTATATGTTAAGTTCTTGCATGAACATTGCAAGGCCGGGCAGGATGTTGGCGCGCATGCGCGTCAGCGCCCCAACCGGCAGAAGATTTTGTAACTTCCACAATGACAGACGGCTCTCATGTAGCTCCGTCTAATTAAAAATAAAACTTCTGAAATCGCTTTTAGCGATAATTAAAATAAATAAAAATTAAATCATCTCTTTTTTTAAAGAGTGGTCCGTCTTATAAATTTTTTCTATTCATCTGGCTCCGTCGAACTTCGGAGTTTGAATCAGAACAATGGCNGCAGAAATCCGATAAAGAGCGGAAAAATCTCATCCCTGATAATTAGATAAGGTTGGAACGTTTTTGACAATTGATGGTTTTATCTTGTTTTAACTGTCATGCAAAAAAAAATAAAATAAATAATAATTTTGGCATTATTTTTGACAATTGACAAAACTCATTAAATTTTCAATCGTGTAAAACAAATGGCGTTTTCATACACTATGGCCTGACAATGCGCCGAAATATATTGGGGTTGAATTAATTGTGAGAACGTTGAATAGAACAATGTGAGCTGCGTCTTTTTGCATAATTTGAAGCGGAAATAAACATAGTAAAGAAAAATTTAATTTTGAAAAAGGGAAAATTAAGCACTTTTTATAAACACTCAAGAAAAAAGCACCTCTAAGGGCTTTTAAAAAATAAAAATCGAAAATAAGCACTTTTAAAAAACGCTACGCACCTTGCAGTAGCAAACACGGAAAAAATTTTTAAAAAATAATTTACACTGTTTTTCATGTTCCATTTGTTAAATCACAGATAAATATGGTTTAAACTTTTTTTTTTTTTTTTTATAAATAGGAGATTTAAACCAATTTTTGTTTATTCATTCTAAAAATATTGCTGTCAACTCAATAATATAAGTATCTATTCAACATACTTAAATACCAAAATTTTGTATAATATGTACTTGCATATAATAAAGAATTTAAAATTCTGAAATTAGATTTGCAGTAATATTGCATACTTTATTAATTAGCATATCAATCATTTTATCTAACATAAAGAAAAAAAAATTTTTATAAATCTTTAAGCTATACAAATTTTATTATTTGTTGCATAGCTTTTAAGTAGATAAAAAATTTAGGAGCATTTTAAAAGTTATCCTACAAACATAACATTTCAAATCTAAAAGCTAAGTAATGGAGAAATATTTGTGTTAATAACAGAATAATAAAAAGAACACTTACAGGCACTAAAGCTGCTATATGAGAATGAAATACTTCTGGTGGGTGATGAGTTAATACACAATTTAAGAATGTTAACGTATCTATTTTCATATTAGAACTGGAATTTTTATCCCTAAAATTTAAAAAAAAGCATAAACATCTAAAACATTCTTAACATGAAATTATGCAATTAAAAATAACTTAAAATTGATGTTATTATGTGACTGTAACTTTACAGTGTGATTAATTTGCAGGGTTCATTCTAGGTGGGGTTTACGGGGCATCACGCCCCTTATGCCCTTTTTATGAAAAATTTCTGCCCTGTTGCCCTTTACTCCTCTTATCCCGCCCTGATATAATAAAATACGACCTGGTGTGCCCTCTCCAAAAAGATACCACCTTCCTGCAAGAAAGAATTTTTTTGTTCTGTCCCCCCCCCCCACTTAAAGATACTTTTCTTGAAATCAACTTGTATTTCCTCTAGCTCAATAGCTATGGGTAAATGAGATTCTGAAATGCCCCCCCCCCCTCTTTGCTATTTCCTCTTGAAGTTAGTAGTTTAAATAAGAGATCTTCCAAGAAGTTCCTCCTGTCAGGGTATGCAACACCTCCTGCAGCTGTGTGGGTTCCTATTTTGTCTTTTTAGAAAAATTTCTTTTTCTCAGAAATGGAAGTATTGCTTATTTTAAAAAACCATACCGCAATGGTGATAGTCAGTAGGCCTGCCAAGAGTTATCTTGGAAAGAATTTTTTAAGGGAAGAAATCTTGTTCACAAAGCCTGTAGACAATTTTAGGGGTCAGACTAGGTCATTGAAAAAAGATACATTCTCATGCATCTTCTGGAGCCCTCCACCCTCCTCTGCCCAGCTTTATTCTTTTGAAAGAAGAAAGAAATTTTTACTTTTGATTTCAAAAGTGAAGGGACTTAGACAATTAACTACGAAATAAAAAAGCTTTTTTAGCCAAAAAAGAAAACAGAAAAAAAATATTAATTTTAAAATAAACTTTTAAACAATAATAAATTTCAAGTAATGTTTCATTACAAGTTGTTTTTTAGAATTTATATTGGTAAACAAAAATTTTTATTCCATTTTTTTAAAAATATTTTTATTTATATATCTTTTGATATTTTTCCGAAGATTTTCTCATTCTTCGTTGGCATACTGCCAGGAGTATAAACAGATCCGTCTTTATTATTTTTTACTCTTTTAAAATATTGTTTAGCGCTATAAAACTTCTTAATTTCTCGTTTTCATTAGAATTTGTCCTAGCAGTCGATCTTTTTATTAATTTGTTTATTTATATTAATACTAGTGTGTGCAAAGGTATCACTGCGTCTCATAAAGGTTGAATCAAGCAAGCAATTTATTTGCAGATTAATTCAATTAATCGTTTTTTTCTTCTTTTCTTTCTTTCCTTACTTATTATTTTGTTCAACTGTTCGTCCGAATTGATACTAAATAAGCTAATTTGAGTAGGAAACTTTTTCATACATTTAGAATTTTTTCTAAATTTTTTACTCCTTAATTGAATATTATGAGGTTTTTATTTCTACACTATCACAAGTTTCCAGACATTATGAGTGAAGTAATTATATCGGTAAATTTAAATGCGGAGCTTTCCTTTATTTAATAGTGTTAAATTTATTTATAGCTGTATGCTTGTACCTCAAAAATATTAAAAAATAAAATTTATTTGAAGATACAACATGTGTTATTCGCAATTTTTTTCTTCTTTTTTCTGAATGATCACAATGCAGCTTTAATTTGGCCGCGCATTTTAAATAGAATTAAATAAATTTATAAATTGAGAAATGGTTCTTTCCTTAATAGTAACTAGTTTATTTGACGATATTTTTCAAATGAGGTTTTCGATTCGACACTATCACAATTACCACCCCGATCGATAACTCTATGTTGAACTTTCTATATATTTAAATATGACACTTCTTTATCGTTACTTAAATTATTTCTTTCTCGTTATTATAGAAATTCGGTCTTTATTTTGGCGCTTTTTGCAATTTTGGCTATGATCTATATCACATACCATGATGATTTGACAACGCATTGTAATATTAGATTAATTTAAATACAAAACTTTTTTCATTTAATGTTTTTCAGCATTTTATTTATTTATTAATTTATTTTTAATATCAATGTTATCGCTATTTGCTAATTCTGCGTTTGTAAGATCGTGCATTGTAAATATTGTAAATTGAATTTATTTGAATATAACAAGCAAATTTTTATTTCGATTCTTCTTAAAACTTAAAATGTTCATTTAAATACAATAAAAAGTGCTGTGGTCGCAAATGAATCTTTTCTAATAACTTATTTATTTACTTTATAATAATTTGTAATTGCTTTAATTGTTTTATTTTATTTCTCTTAATCACAGGGGTCGTATGCACCTGGACTTAAAAACTGTTTTTTTAAAGAAACTGTCTTTGTGGAACTGTCTTTTGTTTTATAAAGAAAAGTTTATTAATAACGTTCATTGAAAAAAATGCTGTGTCATAATAAAAATACCTATAAAAAGAAAAGTTAAATAAAAAGGAAAACAGAAAAAACACACTGTTCTTAGTTCCTAAAACAAACCTTTAACACTGAAAATCAGTTTTCTATGTTTCCAGTTATTTATATTACAGTACAGTACAGGGAAAGAGTGATAATAAATTAATAGTAGAAGACATTCCGTTAAAATGCTGCGTTATAATAAAAGCAGTAGAAATGAGAAAAAAAATATTTCTATATTCTCAGCATTAAAAGGATCGAAAAAATTACGAAATGGATTTGTCTGATTAAAAAAAAAATTTTTTTTTTATAAAACAAGCAGAAATTCAAAAACTTGTGATTCAGAATAAAGTAGTCTAGTTTTCCAACTTTCGTTTTTCCCTTTGTCTTCTAGAAGATAAATTTGCAAGCCATGTGCAGAAGCATGGATTTTAAAATTTTAGAAATTTATGTTAAAACTACTTCTTATAATAAACAATACTATAGTATAGTCAAAATACAATTTTATATCATTTTTTATCATATCCATACAAATTCAAAAGTGGTGGAAAACGTGAATTTTTAAACTGCTCACTGTTTGCCTAAGTAATCTTTTTCGATAAAGAAAAAGATAACGTTTACCATATAAAAAAATCTATGAATTAATAAAATGAAATAATAAAGTACATTACCAAATAGGTATTGAATTTTATTTTGAACTATAAGTTTTGTTTTTATTTTAGGCTTTTGTTGAAAACTTATAAATTTTCTTCAATTAAAAAATATTTAAATTGAATTTATGTACTTAATTATGTATTAATTTATTTCTTACTTTCATTCTGCGAGCATTGCAATTTTTTTTTTATATTAGAATTTATTTTTAAAATGAATTTTTGTATTGCGTGATATGATAAAAATGGCATTTTTTCTTTTTTTAAAAGTATCAGTTTTTTTTTAATTTTCAAATGAATTCTAATAATTGAACGACTTTAATTTTCTACAAATATATTACTAAGTTTATTGATAAAAAAAATTAGAACACTAATGTTAAAAGAAATATTACTACATTTGCCATTAACGTGTCTAAATACTTGTGCGGCCCTTTCTTAGTCAACCTGCTGTGCAAATGGCCCTTTACTCAAAAAGGTTGTGCACCCCTAAATTATCAGATCTGATATATACTGTATAAATTAAAGATGAATGTGAAGTTAAAGTTTGATATTATTGTGGCAACTGAATTCAAGTATAAAACTTCCAGTATGTTTTATTTAAAATGACTAAAAGTATGAATTTTATTTTGCAATTTATTTTGTAAATATTGTTTTTCCTGTATATACTCCAGAACTTCGTTTTCAACAGTTAAGCTTAAAAACGCAGTTTATTTTATTTGTTTATAAGGGAGAGCCAGACACTTAATAAGTTTATTTTCAAGATTAATATATATTCATATTTTATCGCAAAATAAATAGTCTAATCATCAACTCGAGAAAGAAAGACATATTTGAAAAAATTCAATTGTTTCTCCAGGTCATCAAATATATCAATAAATTTTAAAACATTCTCATAATTACTCAACTTTTTGCATACTATAAATAAAACAAAAATTTCTAAAAATGAATTTCTAATAAAAAAAATTATTAAAAAAAAGAGAATGAGTTTTTAACAAAGTTGTACACGATTACAAATAGTTTATAAAAATAAAATACTACTATAAAGCAACTATTAAAGTGAAATTAAGTTTAAAAAATTTTAGCAGTGATTTGGTAGGATTGATTTCCACATAACTTTTAAAATCTGATATTTTGCATATAATTAATTATTACATTCTTGAAATGAAACATGCATTTGAATCCGACACGAGAGTCCAATTTGTGTGATTTCGTCCTAACTTTCTTTTTTTGGTAGCTAATGCTATGGATTTTGTGATTCTTAATTATCATTGCTTAATATAATCAATGATGGGGGCATTATTATTATTAAATAAGGGCATTTTTCCACCTTCAAAATCCAAAAATGACGTTGATAATACAGTCAAACCCCGCTATAGTGAACATGGTTTATAGTGAACTCCCGGATATAGTGAACCAAATGTTCGGTCCCTTGCCTTGCTATACACGCATAATGTCCTTTTTTGTGGATATAGTGAACCAAAAAAGTGAGGAAGTTGGATATAATGAGCTTTTTTCTGTTTTCGACTGATTTTTTTCTTCATTTTTTTGATATTTTCAGGGAATATAAACTATTCAAATCTGAAGTTTGTAACATATGGAAAAAAAGGCAATTAATAATTTCTACTCATGAAAAAATTTAGAAGGCAGAATAAGTTGAGAAAAGTAGATCACAAGGATGATGAAGAAGCATTACTGAAGTGGTTCACCATTCGAAGAAGCCGCAATTTTCCTGTATCTGGACAAATGTGGATGAATTCGCTAAATGTTTTTATGAGACTACTTTCATGTGCTCGAATGGCTGGTTAGACAGGTTTAAAAAACGGAATAACAGAAATTCAGGAAAAATTATCTGATAGTCGGGAAGTGTTTCCATAACTGATGTTGAGGATTGCTCGTCAGCTAAAGATTACTAATTTTTTTTGTACGCAAGACGAAGAGTAATGAAAAATAACACATTTTTTGCTACTACATAATATTTTTCAGTCATTTATTTGAATAATGTGCAATAAAAGGGAGGAGTTTGGGAACCATTAGGTAAATTATCTGCGTAACGTATATAGTAAACACCCGGTTATAGTGAATCGAAATTTCGGTCCCTTGAAGGTTCACTATAGTGGGGTTTGACTGTACTACAAATTATTGCATTTACAACTAAAACATTATACGCAGATTTATTCTATATAAGCAGGGTTTTTTTAAAAATAAAAACAAAATGCTTTTGTTACTTTATATTAGTAATTATTTTTATTAAAAGAATCTTGCAGAAAGATATAAGTGATAGGAAGGTTGATCCCCCTAAAATATTCTGCCACAGGGGATGAATATATAAATATTGGTTTTAATAATTCAATAAGCTAAACATGCAATTTTAAATAAGGAAAAAAAAGATTTAATTTTTTTCCCCCACCCAGAGCAGTTTTTAAGATACAGAAAGCAGCTCCCTATCCCATTTAAACTTCACATTCAAAAATATTGAAACATTCAAGTTAGCATGCATGTTATACCACTTTGAAAATCATGGTAAACTGTATTTTCTTAAATCAATGAGTAATGACATAAAAACTCAAAGCAACAGTCAATTTAAATTATTAAAACATTGGAGATTTATATTATTCAGAAAGATATCACATGGATCAAAAAATAAAATATGTAATATTCACATCCTGGAAAAAATTCTTACGAATTATTTAAAGTCCAAATAAATTTTTGCACTTCAAAAATATAATTCTGACAAAACTTTCCTGGTTTAGATATTTGTTTTAAAATCACATATATTAGAGACTATGAATAGAAATGATAATTTAAGGAAGATAAAACTACAAGTAGTCTCAGAAGAGATTTGTTTAGCGTTTTCTTTCTCTCGCGAAATTCAGTGATGGCTGATAATAATTTGGTTTGAGTTATGGCATAATTATCACAAAGACAGAGATCCCAACTGCTCTGGGCACGCCAAAATAATTATTAAAAAAAACAGTAAATAACTACAAGGTAAATTTTGCAAATATTTGACTATTTTTGCTTGCTGTTTAAAAGGTATAGCATGACATAAGTACTATAAAGTGGTGAATTATATAAACTTACGATTTAGAAATAGTGGTGGATAAAAATCTACTAAATTGAATCTATTAAACCATGAATCACAATTGATAAACTACCACTTTAAAATATATATTTGCTGCCCGGAGCAAGTTAGCATTTCTGCAAAGATGTCAATGAATTTATGAGAGAATCGAACGTATAGAATGACATAGGCCAGATAGTAGTGGATGTGGATATTTGAGATTATGATGATTCTAACTGTTTTTTATTTGCTTAAATTTATTGGTGTTTTGTTTTTCTACACAACATTTTCTGCAAAATTAATGTTTTGGTAAGTTTAACTGGGTTTTGTAAAGTGATTTTGCTAAAGACAATTACATCTTAAATTGAGTTTGTAAGTTGGTTGTGGTTTTTCGAAGTAAGTTATTGGCAATCAGGCACTGATAAGAAGTTGAATTAATATTGAGTATATCATGAAGTTTTTATAAGAAAAAGTTTTTTTATTTCTGTTACAATAAAGAGTTTAGTGAACTCTGGCCTTCAGGGCGAGTGATTTATTTGAATAATATTTAGAAGAGTTTTAATTGAATTAGGATATATTTATTTTTTAGTTTTGTGCATGTTTATGATATTGAACATTCTTGGATTGTTATCGATGATGATTTTGTCAATTAGAAGATTTGTGAAAATGAAATACTCTAACATTCAGATGAGTTTTTACACATTTATTTTCTAGGGGAATTGGGAAATTTATGCTGAGTAGCAACAAAACTATGATTCAATATATCAATGTCTAATTATCTATAAAAACTATATGTCCAATTGTCTATGAATCAATATTGATTTGCTCTATTTTTTGTTTATGAAATGTTTAAAAAAATGTGTCTGAAACGTATTTACCAAAATTTTGTGCAAATGTATTAAAAAATTGTTGCCGAGGCGGTATTTATTCGATATTGATCTGCAGTATTTTTCTTTTATGAACTATAATTAAATGCTAAAAATAGTTTGTAAAATAGGTTTAAATTGTAATTTTAAAAAAATGGATGTTTTTTGGAAGTTGAGTGCCACTGTCCAGCATACCCTACACTTAGATTTCTTAAATGTTAAGTGCCATTGCCTGACATACTCTGCACTGTTACTAAAATTTAACTGTAATACAAGCGAACTTTGAATATTAAAGGGTTGCAATATTTTATTCTGTTTTTGGCATTGGCACCGTTCAGGCATATAACGAAACAGGCCTAGGGGGCTAACATTTGTTATAGATTTGCAGTTATTTATGAAATGTAGGGTTTGTGTCAAAAAATGATAGAAAGATAAGCAGAGGTGCAGTTTTGGGGGAGGACAAAAACCCCTCCGAAATTGAACATTACTTGAATAATGAACTATTGCATGGTAAGTAGGATGTAATTATAGTTTTCATTATTTATTTTTTGTAATTTATACATTTACAATATATATATATACATATGTATTGCAGTTACAATATATATATACACACACATATGTAGTAGGAGATAACCCCCCCCCCCCGAACATACATTAAAACTACACCACTGAAGACAAGCGAACTTTGAATTTATGAGGATTGCAATACTTAATACGGGTTTAGGTATGCTAGAAATGCAGAGCTAATAAAAATGTGCCAAATATGGTTGACAAAAAAAAAAAACATTTGGTGCATTAATAACAAATTAGATCCGCACACTTAATAAAAGAAAAAATTTGATTTCTACAATTTTGCATGCTTAATTAATTAAATTTTTCGTTTTACTAAATAATAAATTAACTCATGAGCAATTTTCATCTTGACTTAAATACATGTAATTTAGTAAAACAAAAACATAACCATTGAACTTAGGGGTGTTTACCCAAATAAATACCCTATTTACCCTCATCTATAAAATTCAGAGTACTTTATATCTATAGCTGTATACTGAAGTGTGCAATAGCACGATGACATCACTGTGTAGGCATCAATAGGATTTATAGGACTTTTTTGGTAATATAGGAAAATATAGAATGTTTTTTAAAGTTTTAAAATATATATAGGAAATAAAGGATTTATAGGAAGACTCGTTAGAATTAATTACAAATGTTACTAACCCAAGTGAAAATTGTATTCCTGGTATAAGAGCAGGCATATGTTCAGATAGAGCTCCTGGTAAAACTGTAACTAATTCAGTCAATACTAGGAAACAGCCCTGCCTTGTTTTAATACTTTTTTCTCTCAAATGACGATGAAGAGCCTTAATTATGTGAGGAGTCTGTTGCTTTAATAAAGTCACTGGGCTGAAAGACAACAATCAATGATTAGGAAACTGATGACCATGATACTTGAACAATAAAAAATTTTCATCTTTGCCTTATTCTTTTACATTTACATAATCGATGTAGTTCTTTCTTTTAATTGCTTTTCTTTATGCTTAATGCTTTATTGTCACATCTTTTTAAAAAAACCAATATTTTTAATATGACATTATTACGATCTGTGAATTTTGAATTTTAGTTATAACTTTTGATGCTCTTTATGTGTGCCAAGTTCATCGGGAATCAAGCAACTTTCGATAATTTTTTCAAAAGTTATTGCTATATATTTCCATGTAGTTTCTAAAATTACGAATACAAAAATTATTAAAACCAAAATAGGTTTTAAGGTCATTAAATTTTTGACTGGTGAATTTAAATAGGATCGGTTCAACTTACTTTATTTGCACAAATCCAAATGACTTATATTTTTCTTGGCAGTTATTACTATGCGACGCCCGGTGGCTGAGCGGTAGCGCTGTCGTGCCACAGGTCCCTGGTTCGATCCTCGGGCCGGACAAGGCTGACTCAGCCTTTCATCCCTTCAGTGGGTCGATAAATGAGTACCAAGCATGCTTGGGAACTAAACACTGGGGGTTCCGCGTTCTTCTGACCGGAACATCTGCTCCTGCACCCCAAAGCCCAAGGTCAAGAAAAATGAGATGGGCACAGTAGGCCTCAGTCCGCAAGGGCTGTCGCGCCGCTGAGTTATAACTATGCGCTACCACATGGCATTTAAAATTCGGATATTTTTAGCACAACATTATTACAAATCGCAAATATCAAATCGCTCAATTAGATAACCATTTTTTGATGTGGTCCACTTGTGCCGTTTTATCGATATTCCACATGATTTTTCGATCGTTATTTTGGCAGTGATACAGTGATTTTGATCGTTTTTTTTGGTATTTATCATTATGCTTTTCCATGATTTAAAAAATCCTGGTATTTTTCATGCTTTATTATTACAACATGCAAGTTTTGAACTGTGCATTAAAATAATCACTTTTTTTGACAAGATTTACTTATGCCAATTTCAATATATTTATACAATTTCAAAGTTTCTCAACCATTTTTTTTTCTTTTCTGGCAGTAAATGCTACAACATTTTTCCATGTGATTTTGAATACTTGGATATTTTAATGCAATATTACAACTGTAAAATTCAACTCGCTTTTCTTTCTTCTGTAAATATTCAAGACTTGTAAAATCTCTTTTAATTTATTAAAATAAAATGTTTTAAAGTTGAAGTATATTCCTTACTAAATATTGAATCTTATTCAGTGCTGTAATGGTTTAGTTTTAATTTAAATAATTTTCAACCCTATAAAATTTGTTAAGTATTTAATTTGCATTTATTTTACTTACTAGAATTTTCTTTAAAAATTTAATTCCATGAACACTGAAGTTATTTAATGCTTGAATTTGTCATAAAATGTACTTTCTGTAGTATTTAAAATGACAATATATATATATATATATATATATATGTATAAGATTAAAATATACAGAAAACATGGAAAAAATTTCAGAATAATGAAAAGAGAAAAAAAATATTAAATCAAAAAAATTTAAAAAATTTAACGTTTATTTATTTTTATTCGTTGNATATATATATAAAAGTTTAAAATATACAGAAAACATGGAAAAAATTACAGAATAATGAAAAGTGAAAAAAAATATTAAATCAAAATAACATTTAAAAAAATAACAAAAAATAAACAAAAGGAAGGAAAAAAAAAATTCGATAAAAACCCGGGGGAGGGGGGGATATATCTTCATCAGCTCACACGGCTATATCTATAAAAATGGAGTGCTTTCTATTATTGTAACTAGAACTGGGCGATACATCGATAAACATCGATGTTGTGTAATCATCGCCGATTCAATGTTAAGGTAGGCGTCTTTTACAAAGCATCAGAAATTCCAATGTACGCACGATGAGTACGATGTTTCATGATGCCACGAAAAGCAATTCTTCAGATTCAACATCGATGTTCACAAACGCGCGCGAAGAGCATTTCCCCCGATCACGAGGCGACAACGATTGCTGAGACGATCCTTACCCGTGCGCTTCTTCCTTCGCAAATTATCAAGCAACGATGTGCTGACACGATGAATTCCGATGTGGACTAGGAGTAAAACTAACTCATCGCCAATGAAAGATGAAAAAGTTCTTTCTTCAATTCGTCCAAATCCAAGAAAAGAAAGTGATTCTCTGAGGATTATTTATGTTTTGTTACTTGATAATACTTTGAGAGATCATTTTTGTCTTGCTGAAGAAAAGATCATTTTTGATCTGTGATAAGACTTAGTTTATTTTTTCACCTATTATTTTTCTTTGTTAAATCTGAAGAATTACATTCCTTTAATATGGATAAAATGGTTTCATTAATAATTTTGTATAAAGTTGCAATTTTGCATATTGACCACGTTTTCAATTATTAAAAAATTATTATTATTATTGTTAGAAAATATAAAAAATCTAATATTTTTGCAAAAAATTTTGGCAAACGAATTTTTAAACAGACAACTTATCAAATGCAAATTTTATTTTTAAGACAGTCGTCTCATTTTTATTTCTTCAGCATTTTCTTTTTCGACTTGATTGCTTTTCGATCTTTCTCGATGTTCCTTATTTGTAACGGTTTTTATAAGAGTGTGCAGTTAAATTTTATTTTCACGAAATATAGTTTAGCAACATAATAATACATTAGGTTAGCAATAATTTTGAAAATAAATTTTTAAATAATTGATTTTTACAATATTGAAGGCATAATAATTTCCATTGTATCTTTTTCCAGGAAATTTTGTTTTTATACTAGTTTTTCGCTATTTCTTCAAAAATATTGAAGGTTACTACCTTCAATATTTCTACTGCCTTCAATACATTATTGAAGGATATTCTTCAAGAAATTCTGGAGAATGAAAGGACAAGAGGTTATGCGCATCGGCTGTTCTCAGTTTTCTATCTTTATCAATTTTCTATCTTTTCAATTTTTTTTTTATCTTTTTCCTATTACGTTTTTTATTTTTCTGTTTATAAAGGTTTTTAAATTGTTGGCTCAATGCGCATTTTAAATTTTATTTTATTTTTATAATTGTATCTATTTTATTTTTACAGTTGGCTGACATACTTTGCGGCAGGCTAATACTTTTGGTCTATTGATCTGATTTTTACGCATCAGGACTTAATCCTTAGTGGTTTGAGGGAGAGACCTCAATATGCTAATTAGTTTAAGCAGACAATATTTTAAATTACCAAGTGAGGTACAAAAACATACTTATCTGAATAAATTTTTTGACGGATTCCTGACCCTCAAAATATAAGGCGTAGCCGTAATCTGAGAAATATAGTCCTAATAATTTGGTCAAGAGAGCGAACGAAAGTTAGGATCTCTTGATGTTAATGCTACTTTCTACGTATTTCGTCATATCTCGAGAACTTTTTACTCGAATTGAAAAGTTTTAGCACAAAATTATAAAATTTGTTTATCCAAAGATAATTTTATGCAAAAATGATTTTAATTAATTTTTTTATTAGTAATGGTAGCAAAAAGTTTGAATTGTAAGGTATATAATTTTTTTTAAAGAATATAATTTTTTATTTTAAAATGAAAAAGTAAAAAGAAATTAGTTGAATAGTTTCTGAAAAATAAATTTCAAAAAATCAGACTTTTTGAAATCAGATTACTAAGTCAAAAGTAATTTCTTTTTCAACACTACACTCTATCCACAAATATCAAATATTAATTGCTAAAATATTCCTGTTAAGATTAATTTATTATAATATAAAAGTTGAAAAAAATGCACAAATTTCTTCTAATTTTATTTTCTAGAAAAATTATTTCTTAATGTAATAATTTTTTAATGTGCTTCTGTCTAAGATACCAAATCATCCTTAAGAATGCTGAAAAGTAGCAATAATTTTTGTTAGCCAAGGTTAAAGATAATTTACTAATTTTTTTCAAAGCTGCATGTAAAATTTTAATGAATTATTCGTTTCACTAGTTAATTATTTATTCAATACCCTCTCTCTTTCTTTAATTTAAAAACTTCCGATTTTTTTCAGCAAAATCAGAAAGTTGAAAAGATGTGTTTTGTTTAAATTGAAAAAGACAGAGAAAAAGACAGAATTATTTTTATCCAAAAGAAGAAAATAATCAAAATAAAAATAATAAACAGAAAAAAACCCGATAAAATAAATATTTCTTACTAAACATTGATATACCAGGCTATAAAGTCATACATTTAATTTACTCCTATCTTTACTTATTTCCCTATTGATTATATTTTTTATATAACTTTATTGAAATTAAATACAACATTCAATTAGAAATCACTTAGTTGTTTATATATATCAATAAAATGAATATAATTCGTATAATGCTAGTTTCATGCATTTTGGCAAATTTTCACTTTTTGTAAATTTTATCTGAATATTCCTCTCTTGAAATCTTACTCTCTTTTTTCCCCAAACACACAGTTTAAATCCTAATACATATATTTAAAATTTCAGTTTTAGTCTTACTGTACAGTAGCATCAAATAAATAAAAAACAAAGTTGTGCAAGAATGCAAAATTTGGCAAAACCAAATGTGAAACAGTAACGTGAGATCGCGAGATTTGAGTGGCGATGCATCACAATGCTGAAATCTTAACAACGCCCAGTCCTAATTGTAACAATATAGCCAAAGCAAAATATATGAATACAATAGTGTGAGGAGAACTCAAACAATTTTTGAAACAAGATAGAACACATTAAGTGATAAATATACCGAAATCTATAAAGAGAGTAGCGAATTCAAGTGAACTTATATGTACGGGAAAATTTTCAAGAATGAATCACTTGAATTCGCTACTCGCTTTATAGATTTCATTTTGTGTTTTGTTCTGTTTTTTTCTTTACATTTTATTTTCTGTTTTTTACTTGATATTTATGACAATGTTTTCGATTTCAATTATGTCAATATTTCAAAAATTTTTTTTAGTGCTTCACGCACTATTGTATTGATATATTTTGCTTTGGCTCTATTGATACTGTCAGGGTCACGTGATGTAATAACACGCATTTTCTGATGTTGCGAGCTAAAAGCTTGATATTATAGATATGATCATTTTTTGGTTGTTTTGGTTTTTTTTTGAACGATGGATGAAAAAGAATAATAAAATGGTGAATTAGTTTTTGTAGAATTTTGCGTTATTTCTTTTGTAAAAGGTTACGACTGACAGATACATTATTAGAAAGTGCTCCTTTTTGCAGATATAATTGAGTGAGCTGATGAAGAGATTATATCATATTCCCCTACGTTTTTTATTGAATTTTTTTTTACGTTATTAAAATTTATTTTAATAATTTTCTTCTTCTTTTTTCATGATTCTATAACTTTTTTGTATGTTTTCTCTATATTTTGAAGAACTTATGTACAGTAAATAAAACTTATTAATTTATTTCATTTTATCCTCTTTGTATTCATTTATTGAGCTATATATATATATATATATATATATACACACAGTGAAATCTCNTCTGTTTTTTACTTGATATTTATGACAATGTTTTCTATTTCAATTATGTCAATGTTTCAAAATTTATATTGATATATTTTGCTTTGGCTCTATTGATACAGTATTAGAAAGTGCTCCTTTTTGCAGATATAATTGAGCGAGCTGATGAAGAGATTATATCATATTCCCCTACGTTTTTTTATTGAATTTTTTTTTTACGTTATTAAAATTTATTTTAATAATTTTCTTCTTCTCTTTTCATGATTCTATAATTTTTTTTGTATGTTTTCTCTATATTTTGAACTTATGTACAGTAAATAAAACTTAATTTATTTCATTTTATCCTCTTTGTATTCATTTATTGAGCTATATATATATATATACAAAGTGAAATCTCCTGTTATGGACACTCCTGCAAAACGGATGTCTCTCAATACGGACTTATTTTTAATTTCCCGGGGGATCTTCTAAGTATAATCCATTATGTACATTCACCGCAAAGCGTACACTCCTTTAACCGGACAGTCATTTTGGCCTTGAAATGTTATTTCCTATCTCTTCAAACCGGACACTACTTTTTCTAAATTTGAAAAAATTTAAAAAAAACTATTTCTGCTTTAAATTGCAAGCTAAAATAATGCAACTTTTTTTTCACCATTTTTAAAGCCTTTAAATTTTTTGCCTTATCCATAACTAAAAATTTTATTATTAAACTATTTCACAACTGAAGAATCAATTTTTCTCCAGCCACCTTGCCTTATCTTTGTAAAGAAAGGAGAGAAAATGATACTGCTTTCTTGAAATAATTCAGACAGCGGCATCTTCTGATCTTTTTATCTGGACCCAACAGGTTATGAAACCCCTCAAGTTGAAATGACACGTTAAATGCTCTCAATGATTCTTCCCTATTGAAAATTTCTTTAATTTTCTTATCTATTTGAAGACTGTATACAACTGGGGTAAGAAAAGAGAACAGAAGTATAATCTTTGAGGTGTTTATATAAATGAAACATTTATTCAAACACTTGATAGCTGATCAATTGTGAATAATCAACTCCTAAGTCCTCATGACTTACAGGTATGCATTGCTTTTTTTCCCCGTGCATCGTGGGAGGATTACTTTCAAGAAGGTATTAACCATGTTTCTTATCAAATGATAAGTAGGTGTAAGGGTATGTAAACCTAATAATTGAAACCGACTTAGGACTGAAAACTCCTATTCGGAATCATATGTCTAACTTGAGTATCTATGCTAATAGGAAAATTATATTCATTTATCTGTAGCTACATCTAGAATTATGTATTTATATCAAAATTCCTTATATATTCTTTTTTATCTTTCCTAAAGTTAAAATAAATATCCTTACAGATAGTTATTGTAGATTATTTAATTATTTCTACATCTTTGAAAATATTCCAAAAACAATTTACAGTGTTAAACTTCGTTATTAGGGTACTCTTCCCATAAACGGACAATATTTTCGGCTCCAAGAATGTCCGCCTAACGGAGGTTTTACTGTATATATACATATACACTTAAACTTGCTAAACTTGAGTAGAAAATAAACAATATTTTTTAGAAAAAATATTGAACTTTTAGCTACCTTAAACTCAAATTAATTAATTTTTCTTGACTTTTCGAATATTTTAATTGAATTCCTTGATATTTTCTTGATTAATAAAATTTCTCAACTTTTTCTTTCCTGATGTCTTCATTTTGTGCTGACTCTATTATTAATTTTTTAAAAATAATTAATTACTTAATATCAAAATGAAGCCCTATTTAATACCAAATAAGCATTGAAAGATTGAAAATCACATAAATATTTTTTTTAAATAAAATATTAAGTTTGTATTTAAAAATCTTCTTCTGGTTAACTCCTTGAAAAAAAAATTACCCTTCTTCCAGCTCCATTGTTTCAATGCCAAGATTCACAGTTGAGATAGAAGGACGTGTCTGACGCAGTAAAGCAATGTAAGCATGAAAAATGTCTACCTTCACGTTTTCTTCTCTTTCTAGCATAAAAATGTTTGAAAAATCATTAAGTAATTACAGTTTTAATTGCATGTATAGTAGCTTCATTAACAGGTTAAAAAATACATACCTTTAAATCGTGATATTAAAACTGGTGATATAACTTTATAAAATTCTAGCAACATTTCGTGTCTAGTGGAAATAATAGCTTCCAAACATTTTGCAGAAGCTCTTCGTACTTTCCAGCTCATGTCGTCATCATCACTATATTCATCTTCACTATCACTGCAATGAAGCATATAAATTTATACTATTCAAAAGTAATTCCATCATGTTGATGAAAATATGTTGATTTTCACAGCAGAGACAAAATAAATTAACTCTACACATAATTATGAATCTCTGAAAAAATTTTAAAAATGAGGCTTTAAACACCAACAGCCAACACTAGGAATTCATTAACAACTTCAAAGTAGTACTTATGAAGAAAAAAAGAAAGAAAACTTCATTTTACTAAATCTGATAAAATAACATCATAATAAAAAAAAACTCTTAGTTTAATTCTCCTAGAACTAAACACTTTACCTACAGTCACAATGAAAATGTTTATTTCTTTTTCTCAATATCTTTCTTGTCACATACTAAATTAAAATGTAAGATTTGACATTATATTTTAGTATCAACTTATTCTACATTTTGACAGTTAATACTTTTATTTTGAAAACTATAATGAATTCAATATTCTATTTTCATTTTCACTCTTTGTTTTTCCCTTGCATTTGCTGTTCTCTATGGACGTCACTTGATTTTTTTGGCCAATCGTAAAATTTATTGAAATTAAGAAGTGCATTGGTTTTTTATAACATCTTAAGTTTGGTGAAAAGTTTGATACTTTGATACAGCGATACTTGTCTATGACATTCTCAGCAAAAGATTATGGCTTTCCATAAATTAAGCAAGAGAAAGTTTTATAGGAAATATTTCGCAAGTTGATGCCTTAATCATGAATACAGTCTAATTTATCACCCTTTTCAAATATTAAAATGATTAGTCCCAGTAGTCCATCACTACCTGTTGATGATCATTCCGCATTTCTTTAACTATGTACGTAAATTCATCAAAACAGGGTTCTTCAATAGCATCATCTAAACTGCGGTATGTAATATTGTCATCATCTATTGCTGTTTTTCTAAAATTTAATTTCTTTTATATGGTTATACATTGGTTAGCAAAAGGGGCAGAAATTTTTAATCAGCATTGAAAATTACATAGAAAAGAATTTCAACAAAAAGTATCTGCAGAAATTGGATTGATGCATAGAATAAATTGATTTTCCAGTTTTGCAACAATTTGAAAATAAAATATTTATAAAGAAAATATAGATGAGGAGAGTAAAAAATATAGCACACTAAGTTTCAAATCAGAATTTGTAGCCCCATTTGTACCAGGGTTCGTTGATTTAAATCAAATGATTTTTTTAAAAAAATCACTAATTTAAATTAACTAATTTTTTTATCTATATATATATTGATTTTAAAAGTCAAAAAACAGGGTTTTAAATTTTTGATACTTTCATTATTTTCTTTTCTTAGTATTAAAATTTAATTTAAATAAAATGCTGCATTAATTAATTTTAGTTAACGAAATTACTTTCTTGGTGTGTGTTAAATTCCAACNTTTGAATAAAAATCAAAAAAATCTGATTTAAATCAAAAAAATCTGATTCTTTTGATTTTTTTTTTTTTAAAAATCAAAAAAAATCACGAACCATGATTTGTACATCCCGCCATGCGGTTTTTCGTCAATCGAAAAAAATTTTTCATATTTTAATAAAAGAAAAAATAAAAAAACGTTTAAAGAGAAAATATTATGAGATAGGTTCGTATATTCCAAAAATTTTCTGTAAAAATATGTTTCTGAATCTGTGATTGCAAAATTATCATGTGTCGCTTGGTGGAAATGAATTCTTTGAATAGGCCGCACATTGTGACAGTCAAACTTTTAAACACAGATATTCTACCACCTATCTACTAGAAATAACTGTAAGTCAGATTGTGCAAAAACTTATTTTGTACCCGGCACTATGCCTTTGCCTGTATGAGCAAGATCTCGTACTCACATCTGAATGGATATGGCCATTAAGTATTCATGCTAAACTAAGTAACAGGATGTGCTTAAACTCAAGAATGGGCCTTAAATTCTGAATACAGGGTCCAAGTTGCTTTTCTCATAAAACAAACATAAAAATAAATAACTACAGAATGTTCTGGAAAAAAAAAGCTTTTGCTCCAAATACATTCACTTTATAAACTCTTAAGTAAAATGATTAATTTCAAATGTTCTAAATGAATTTGAGTTGCTTCTTAAAAATTTAAATTGGGTTTATTATCTTAATAAATAAATTTAATTGATTAATTTTAAGTTCATAATATAAATAACTAAGTACAGCATAATTAAGCAGATTTTATTAGGTTACTGTAGTAAAATACATTATTTTAAATTAACTTAAGAGAATATTTAAATGGTTTTATTCATATTTTACCTCATTTGATAAAGAAAAAAATGCAACATGAGATGGAAATCAGTGAAAAATGTAATGAAAAGAAAAGCAATGGTGTGGGACATAAAAATAATTCATTATTAATTTATGATAAAAATATTTATTATTTTCAAAATCAAAATTAATAGAAATGAGATATAGAATCTAACTTTAAATTTAAAAAAAAAATACTTTTATTATTTTAAATCTTAGTTGCACAGTACAATTAATGATGTATTTTGGTGACAGATGTAAAATATCAAATGTGTATCTTAGGAATTGTCTTGTACATCAAAATGTAAAATGTTTCTACAAATTTGTGCAAGATAACCTATCTTGATTCAGTTTTCCTACATTATTATTTATTCCATTTTATATTATTGTGAATTTGTCAAAAACAAAAAAATTTTTACTCATTAGAGATTTATTTACCATGGTTAAAATTTTATTTGCTGTAGCCCTTTAACAACCAATAGCTTATTGAACACTATTTAAAAGTTATTCCTTCCGATTACTACCTTGAAAATGATACCCTGTTTATTGAAAAATATTAATTTTAAAATTTTGGTCATCTAGTTAACCTTACCTTGGAATTGCTTATTTGTAAAATTACTTACCGCAGAATAATTTTGTATTTTTTTTTCTTGATAAAAAATGAATCAACAGATAAAACATCTCTGTTTTCAATTAAAGGGTTATATTTCATTCATTTTTTTCATTATTTAATCTTCAGTTAATTTGTAGACACATAATTAATTTATTTATTTATCATCTCTCGAACAAATGACGTTATTTTGTATATCATATTTAACACTCTTGTAGGTTAATAGTCATTTCAAAAGTCGCTTCATGTGATGGATCTGTTGGTTGTTATGGCCATAACTCTCTTGTAACACTTTACCATTCAAAATTAATTGCATTACAAGACAAGTTAATTACAAACTTTAATGACTAATTATGTTAATTAGTTTTTATTTCATGACTCTTATTTTTAATTATCAACTAATTCTACTGTTTTAAATTATATACCATATTCATATTAATAAATCTGTGACACTTACTTATCGTCATCATCACACCTTTCCATATCCATACTATCTTCCGTATCATCGTCATCATAATTGTAATTTGGATCATGGCACAAGTATTTTAAGCAAAGTTTAACTATCTGAAAGGGAAAAAAATAAAGTTAAATAATTCTAAATGCCAATAATTATTATCAATTATCGTTATAAATTTTTTTTAAATTAAAATTTATTGCCATGTAATTAAAAGTACATCTTTAATGACAATGTTCAAATTATGTCAATTTTAAACATCAAACAAAACTGGAATTAAACAAACAAAAAAAAATTCATTAAAAATGAGCTATAACAAATTCAGGCAACCGAAAATTAACTTTGGTAGATAATATTTCAGTTTAAAAGGAAGTCAATACTGTACATTAATCAACATATTAACACATTACTGACTACTAACTGTTCAAAAGTGCTTACCCCTGTCCGAACAGCGCCATTTCCACTTAGCCTGTCACAAGGAACTATCTGAGAAAATTGCCCGCTTTCTGTTATTTTAAATTAGATCTAATAAAACCCTTTATTTTCATGATATTAATGTTAAATTATATTTATTAATCGTCAAATCGGTTAGATCGTCAAATCATTGACAACAGAAAGATGATTAAAGTATTAGTATTTAGTTAGTAAAGAGCACAGTGGATGAAGGTTGTAAGTGACATTTTAGCGAATTGGAGTAAATTAACTTAAAAATTTGTATGCAGAAAATAGAAAATAAAGATTATACCAAGAATTTATTTCTTTTCTTAGTGTCTTTACATGATTTTATTCCTAGAAATAATACGCACAAAATATACAGTAAAATTATGCTGTCCAGTTTTAAAAAATAAAAAAAAATTCTATTTTTACATAATTAAACTCTTTACATGAACTTTTTATACATAAATTACACCATTTAAACACTACTTATGCATCAAAATCACTTACAGTAGAAACATGAGGAGAAATTTCCTTAGGGCAACGGCGAACAAACGATTCAAAAGCATGTAAGCAGTATTCTCTCAGTTCATCATCTTCTACAGCACAATACTGAACTACAACTGGCATAACTCTCTCTAGATGTTCTCCAAAACGGTGTCCAGCTTGACGGCTGCAAAAAGAAAATTGAAGTTTTTCACATCTGTTAATAATTGGACAGTTTTAAGGAAGAGTCATTAATAAAATATGAAAACAATATTCATATTTATTCACTTTAAGATAAAATCAGTAAAAAAAATTATTAGAAGTACAATATAATTGAACTTACTTCCTGCGAACCTCTTTTATTAGAATATCTCTATTAATCCAAGTCTATTCCATTTTATTAACCTATCTTTTTATATACTTATTTTTTTCCCTCTTCTCTTTTTACAATTATAAAGTTTTGTGGCTCAATACATGACATAATTGGGATCTCCCTTTCCCCCTATAACTATTGAAAATGGTAAGTTATTAAGGTACTGAACTACAGAAAAGCTAAACCTAAACTGTCTTTTACAGAAATTTCATTATCACCCCCCCCCACACACACACACATACTAACAAAAGAATTTTTAGTATAATAAGGAACTTCACAAGTCCTAACAACACAAGTTAAATACACAGCTGAAACATAAAAATAAATGAATTAAAAAATTTTACAAATTAAAAGTTTGAGTTAATTCATGTTGACAATAACTTGGGTTTTCCTGATAGCATATCACATCTTCATATGAATTTTTCTTCTTTCAATTATAATGAGGTAATTATATCATAGAATAAATGCATTAAAATTTTATCAAGTTAAACATAAAAGAAGAATTTCTGAAGATTTTATTTTACTATAACTTGAAAAGTAACATTATAAAAAGTTTTAAAAAACATCAAAATTTTAACATCTGTGTTATACTATTAAAGACAAAATTTAGACCTCAGTACCTAATAGCAGCAATAGCTTGAATATATGTTCTAACTGTAGAAGTATTTGTGTTTTGTGCAAGTTCCTCCAATAAAACATCAATCAGCTTGTTAAAGAGATTCTGATTACAGCTCATCACAAGATAACCTAACAGAATCAACATAAGATCATTATTGGAATAAAAAGCTGAGTAATTACTAAAAGTCATTAAATATTTTTACAATTAAATAACAATAAATTAAACTATAAAATAAAAAGGCATTGAATAAGAATGAAGTTTCTCAATATATTTGTGCATTGGGTATCATATAAACATCAGAAGGCATAATAAATATTTAACAAATAGCCATTTCAAATAATTGTTTATAAATATGTTTCACTAAAATACATGGATCATTGCATACCAATAGCTGTAATTGATCGTTTTCGCACAGCCAATCTAGGACTCGCCAGTTGCGGCAATAATGCTTCTTGAATCGATAAATGAAAAGATATAAGCAAAGCTGAAATATAAATGATGAATTAAAAATCTTTTAAACTTTATCAATAAAAATTCTTAGTTTTTATAAATATTAAATATATACCTCCAAATCTACTTAATAAATCACTCAGAATATCTAAAGCTTCTAATTGCACTGAAATGTCTTCTTGCTGTAAAATATTGCATATTCAAATAAATTTTAGTCAAATTAATTAATAAAACATTGTAAATTAGACAGAAGTAATCATTTTAAGTGCAAAAGAAAATTAGAGATAGGTATTAAATTAGATTAGAGATAGAGAAAGATTTAAGTTCAGAAAAAAAGTTGATTAACTAAATGTGTAAATTAATAATCAATTGATATGAATGAATTGTTCTCACTAACTTTAAATAAAATGAGGGTAATTCGATATAAATACTGAAACAGATTCTGCTAACAGTGGAGTAATATAATTTATTGGTAGAAGAATTCACAAAAACAGAACGATGTAAAATGAGAGAGTTGAGTTACAAAGGCAGCACTTCTGTATACTGCTCTTTGGGAGATTAAAATGAATCATTCTGATATAAAAATGAGTTATCAAATGAGTGTTTATTTCTTAAAAAGTAGCATTCATAATATCTTCGGATGAGGGAAAAAAACTACTTCGGAAGAAATCAAGAATTGTAATTTTAATTACAATTACAACAAGTTCCAAATCAAATAACCACAGGAATTGAATAAAAAATATTACAAAATCAAATATTCATGAAATGAAATGTTTAAAGAGCTGAACATTAAAGCTTATAGTCGCTCGTTTGAAATTCAATATTGAATTCGCAATATTTGAATTATTTAATTCAATTTGAATTAATAAGTAAGGTGTTAAAGTATTAGGGGCAATATTCCTCTTATTCATTAGATTTCAATCAATATCAATTTTATTGTCTACTAAATAAGCAAATTTTTTCTGTTACATTCTATATGTCACACCTTTTAGAAAGAGATTTAATCCTCAGTTAAAGCTTTGAAAAATTTTCACAATTTTTGAGAATTTGCTTAATATTAGTTAAATCTAAAATTTTTAATTTTTTTTTTTAAAAAATTATTAAAACGCTACACAGCCCAAATGCCATAATACACAGCTATCAAGAAGTGAATTTGTGAATGCAACCAAGCTGGTCTCCTAATATATCTAATGATAAACCCATTGAGCGATAGCTTCTTTTCTTTCCTTTTTAATTTTTAGGCTTCGACATTTCTGCATATTAAAAGAAAAAAAAGCATTTTCTATGTTACTTAATGGGAAGAATACATAACAGGGAAATTTTATTAAAATTTTATCCAGAGACTCAGTGTTTAGATAATTATTATGAATATAGCTGATTAAGGTCCGGCTATACAATTTTTTACATTAATGTAAACAAGATATGTACCTTTGCAATTGCATTACTTAATCTTCCAGTAATTTTCTTGCAGATGGTTGCCACTAAATTAGTAGATGTAGGTGAAAGTTCACTTATCACTGTTTTAAGACCTGAAACAGTAAAAAATTAACTTATAATTAGAAATGAGACTCAGATAAAGAATAGAAAATCCTCACGAGAATCCATTGTAAAAATAAATTTATTATAATACAGTCATCATTAATGCAGTATGTAGAAGAGAATAATTATTATTTGACATGACACTAATTAATAAGATAAAAATAATTGCATTGTAACACATAAAAAATTCATGTAAAATATTAAAGATCATAATCTCCATGTAAAATAAGAAGAAATTTTTTTTATTGCACATAACGAAACAAGTACTTATTTTTTTTCAGTGATAATGTTGCAAAAGTTAAAAACATTTATATACTTCTAAACTGAGTACATAAATACTAGATTTCTTTTATTCAATATTTCGTAATTTATAACAAGAATAAACTGCAATATGACATTGTTCGCCAATACTAAAATTTTAGAGGTAGTTGAAATATCATCATTGACTTTTGGCTGCTACATATTCATCTTAATTATGGGTGTAATAAAATGATAATTGTCTCAGAAAAATAAAATCATTTAAGAAAAACTTATTTATTAATTATAGAAAATGGCCATAATTCAAAAATATAAACATAATAAAGAAAAGAAATCCCTTAAAGGGATCAAGATAAAACATTCTCTTACATCGATGTTTAGTTAGTATGAATGTCAGTTGAGATTGATAATAAATGGTTGGCACCAGCAAGCCCAAAAGGGCACTCCCAGTAGCCACAAATTTGAAATTGAAAGAGAATGAATTTGTTCCCAATGGACTACTAGGAGAACGGGAAAGAGATCCAAGGTTAGAGCGTGTGAATTAATGAGTCTGCATTAGTATTGAAATACAAAGATTAGCCATTACATTGATCGATAAGAAAGGAATAAAATAATTTATGTTCGCTTTTAATAAAAATTAACTAATTAATTTAAATATAATTAGGTCAATAATTATTAAAAAAATAAGTTTAAGTAATTAAAGAAATTTTAAAAGCTAGGAAATATGTAATGCCAATTGTGGCATCACAATGACTCAGAAAATTATTTTTTTTTAAAAAAGGAAAAAATATCTTTCAGAATTAAAATTATAAGCATAAGCACTGCAGCCTCTACAGTTTTAACTCTAATTAGATGTGATTCTCCTGCAAAAACATTTGTCTTCAGGATTTTTCTCTTCAATACCACTAATTTTGGTGAATATTTTCACTGTGTGGCAATTTTTGTCTTTTAGCTGCATGTAAGCAACTGCTTCCTTGCATAATAATTTTTCTTTATTTTGATTTGTAGTTTTGTTTTTCTTCTATCCTTTTCCTCTTCATGTGCCTTACGCTATTCTTGGACAGTATTCTGTCAACATGATTTTCAAAGAAAAACAAATACATGGCTGTAAAAATTTCTATGAACAAAAAAAATGCGGACCTTTAAAATAAAGGAGGTAGCTAAGTTAAACAGAATGAAAATCTCCATGCTAAAATGTAGAAAAGTTAATTTTTACATTTGCTACATACATTTGTTACTACATACGATGATTTATTACTTGTTGCATTTTTTACTACATACGACGTTTTGTTCATGTTACTACATGTGAAATCTTGGCCCCAGATACAATCTTGGATCAAGAGAAAAAACCCACCTCTAAGTAACTGCCAATATTATGCGTGTTACAACAATCGTGTGTGAACATATGGGCAGTCTGATTTTTTATTGTGGAATCAACTTTTCTTTCGAGTAAAAAAGATAAAGCCAATTTTCCTTTTATATTTTTTAAAAAAGTATTAAAAAAATTTACAAAAATAAACATGATAATTGTATTTAAAAATGCTGAATTTTTGGTAAATGCGGAATATTTTAAAAGAAAAATAAATGTTTTAAATAAAAATCAGAACTTTCTAGGGAGAAAAACAAAGAAAAAAAGGGAAAAGCGGAAATCTGCAAATGGCAGAAAAGTCTCAACCCTGTATAATAATCCAATGATTAAAATAATAAAACACATTAGTAACTAAATTATAATTAAGGAATCAGAAACAAAAAGCACATTATAATAGTAGCTTACCTATACTAGATATATCCCTTAGCTGTTCCTTATCAGAGACCATATTATTGCAGAGAGTTTCCACAATTGTTTCAACTTGATATTCTTTGACTTTATTAACTAATGGTCCAAGACTATAAAAGAAAAAAATAATTAAACAATTTAAATATATTCAAATGTCATATATATTTTATGATGAACTTTATGATGTCATTATGAACTTTTCCACGTCAAAAATGGAAGGCATTAAGCAGAAAATTAAATAAATTATAAGAGTTAAATGAACATAAACAGATTTTAATATTGTGTAGTTGCAGGGTTTCCACAGAAAAAAATAAGCAAAATAGTTGCTTTTAGTAGCCTAAAGCCCGAAAATAGTTGCCAAAAACTATGACAATAGTTGTGTAAATAAGAACAATTTTTTTTCAATAATATGACTAAAAATTTATTTAATGACTTAATTGTGGTATACCATGATCCATTTAGTCAAGTAGGTGGCAAATATGATAATTTTTATATAAATGTTAGTATTCTAGCACTGAATTTTTACATACAATTTTTTTGTATATTTGTAGACGATGTAATACTTTTCATTACTAGAATTCATTCAAAAAATACTTTTTCACTAAAAATAAACATTCTTTTTCTAAAATTTTTTCTCTTTTATCAATAATTGATTTAACAACTATAAATATAATATTATGTAAAGTGATTATTCAAATTCGAAATTCATGCATCCCTATATTGTATTCAAAATTGGGTTTTTCAAAATCATGCAGAATTTTGTAGCAATAACAGTAGAAAAGGTGATCAAGAAACAAAATAGACTTAGATTGGAATCTGTGCAAACTGAGTGCATTAAAAAGTGATGACTCAAATTTGCATTTCAAAATTTTTTATTTTTTAAGAAAAAAAAATCATTGTGTTCAGAAACTCTCGCGGACTGCAGGTTGTCAACCAAATTTATGCTAAAAATATAGCTAGGAGTACAGAAAAGTCTCCTTTTCCTGAAAATAGTTGCTATTTTTAGACAAAAAGTTGCCACAGTCACCTCAGGCCGAAAATAGCTGCAAATACTGGCATTTTAGTCGCCCGTGGCATCCCTGTAGTTGCCCACTGTATAAAAAATTTAAAAGAAATTACTTTTGTTTTGACTTTTTCTTTTTATTTATCATCAAAGTCCAAACTTTATAGTTACAATTAACCTATTGACTAACTAATACTTTTCTACCGAATTATTATACCATTGGATAGATCCATTTTATCAACGGAATAGAATATGTTATGCCATCTATTGACAGAAAGGAAAAAACACTAAGGAAAAGCTACAACTGCTCAGCCCATCTCACAGCTGGCAATGCAATAACAGACTTGAAACCTTTGACCAGCTGTATAAGCCAATAGCAATTAATTAATAGCCTAATATACTACAGTAAACAACACAGGGATGAGATTGGTCAAAAGGCAAAAGAGCTGAATTTCCACGTGTGTAAATTTTACATGCATGCAATCGTTTAATAAAATATTCCAGACAATTTAAGATAATAAATAACTATGTGTTGACATAAAATTGTGTACTAATTTATTAATATATGAATGATTACATCAATACTTAATATTTTGTAAAAAGTAAAACTACCAATTAAAAAATAAAGTTAGAAATTATATTTTTCTTCAGTTCACACAACGGAGACAATTATTACTTGAGAAACTGCCTGGTTTAGCAAATTAAAACTACTGAAAACGTACATTAACATTCCCTTTCTTTTAATAAATACTGTTACGTGATTTATAGCACATATATCAGTAACATGACTTTTTTAATTACAGTACGACCTCGAAAATCCAGAAATCTCTAAAATGCACTCTTACGTCCAGTTCTTCAGAAAAAAATTTTAAAAAATAAATTTTAAAAAAAATCTTAAAATAAAAATTTAAATGTAAGAGTGCAAAACCCCAACTTTTCTCCAACAATGAAGCAATAGATGAAGAGGTAGGGGTGGGGGGTGAATGAAAGTGCATAGCTGATAAGGAAATTCCAGTCATTCTTATCAGCTCTATATAGATAACAAAGAATATAGAGGGGAATCCCCTCTACATTCTTTGATAGATAATGCATGCAGGAGGAGAAATTCTTCTACCACCTTGTTTTTCCCCCTTGTGAAGAAAGCAAGGTTGGCAAGTGGTTAAAACCACTGGTAGAAACCGGTTAAAGCTGGCATGGCAGAAACTGGCAGAAATTCAGAAAATTACATAAAAGTAAGTACTGAGATTGACATACAATGTATAATTCATAGAAAAAACAATTAAATGTTAAACAAAGAACAATTTATATACAAAATTATCACCATTCAAAATCAAATATTACATTGTCTGCACTCTGCAGTAATCTATAACAAAAGCAAAGTTTTGATGCAGTTTCTATACCTAAACAATTTCTCAATTTGCTATGCACAAACGAGAAATTTGTGAAGATTCTCTCAAGTCCAGCAGAACTAGCAGGCATTGCCATCAAGGAACAAGCAAGATTTGTGAAACTTTCATCTATTGCATATTTTTTAAAACTGGACCACCATGTAGCAGTCTAACCAATTATATTGCCTCTTACAAACAGCAAAGACTAAAACTGTTACTGTTATAATTGTTGAATTGTTGTCATGCAAATTATGTCTTGAAAAGAAAAAAAAGTATTTGAAAATAGTTCTATTCCGTTATGTTAAGAGTTAAATGATAATAATTATTGAATTTCAGAGTGTAATGTAATGAACTANATTTATATTTATTATTACATTACTTTATTTTTTATTTCATATAAATATTTGATATACTGCACTCTTTAAATTGAATATAAACAAAATATATATTTACTACAAACAATGAATTAAAAAGTTTGTTACAGTTACATGGAGTTACATTTTTCAGTTTACTTAAACAAAATGTCATTAAGCAATTACTAGAACTAGTATAGACGTTTTTTGAGTTTATGCCAGTTTTTACCCGTTATAACCAGTTTCTGGCACTGGCATGGCAAAAACCAGTTTCTGCCAGCAAAAAGCCAACCCTGGAAGGAAGAAAACTGGTTCTTTCTTAACTTTGAAGCGTAGGAGGCGGGGACAAGTTCTCTCATCCCCCAACAAAAAAAGGATTAGTATTAGCAGGTACAGTCTAGTCTAGAAGCATCTGTTTCAGTTATAAGTTGAAATTCAGCCAACATTTTAAAAGCCTAAATTTTAAGTTTTAATTGCCAATATTATGTTATCTAAACGATCGATTAGGGGAAAAAATGACAAAAGATTGATTTTTAATGTCTCTTATTTATTATTTAAAGTGATATCCGCACACTATTATTTAAAGTGAAGTCTACACATGTGAAATCGGCCTGGCGAATTCGAAAATTCGATATTTCTATCAACTTAAGTAAGGTATCTAAAATCCGGAAATCTGGACTTTCCAAACCCGCCAGCAGTCCGGATTTTCCAGGTTGCACTGTATTTAGAAAGAAAAAAAACTTTCACAATTGCAATCACTATATTCATATTATAATCTAATCTAGCTAGAGCCCTATGAAACATCAATAACTGTGAAGTAGAATCATATAGTAACTCCTTAACATACAAAAATTTCTAATTTAGTTTGAAAAATAACATGATAATCAGCAACTGTTTAGATAATTATATTTCATCTGATAAGAATTTTGCATTTTATGGCATAAATAACAGCAACATTTTCTAAATTTTGGAATTGAGTTAGTTAACTCTTTTTACATTAAAAAAAAGAATAACTTTTTAAGTGATTGCTTTTGTTTGCTATATCTTTTATTAATTTTCGTTTAATTTTCGATTGCTACAAATGCTTCATGTTTTGCAAAACAAGCAAAAATCCCTTAACAAGGTCAAATTGCTTGTAATGCAACTTGTGAATGAGGGGTGCTCCAGTTTGTAAAAGTTTTATATATTCTTGTAGTAATAGCAAAACTGACACCAACAGATTGGTGATTAATTTAGTCATTAGCCCATCCTCAAATATCCTTTGACAAATCCTACTTCTTTCTTTCACATTCTTCTGTGTCACTTTCTTCTTTGCATGCACAGAATGCAAGTTTTGAATACATTCTCTTCCAGTTTCACTGATGTTGTAATGCCTATATATACTAATAATCATCGATAGAAAAACAGTCAACTTTATAGTAACTAATTCAAGAAAAAAAATTAACTTCGCAAAAGAAACGTGATGATTGATTTTAATATCGCGTGAATACAAATAGTGATCTTGGATAATAATCTATAGTGAATCGAGTGAAATCACGTAAATACAAATCACGTAAATACAAATCATGATTCATAATTTTCAGATGGCGTAAATACGAATCACGATGCGTAATTTATAGATCACGTACATAAGAATCACGATGCATCATTTTTAGATCACGGGAATGTAATCCCAATTTTTAAATCATACATAAATATGAAAATCGATGTTTGATATTACAGGGTTGCCACAGAAAAAAATGAACAAAATAGTTGCTTTTAGTAGCCTAAAACGTGAAAATAGTAGCCAAAAACTATGAAAAATAGTTGCCTAAATAAGAGCACAAAATTTTCAATAATATTACTAAAATTATACTAAATGACTTAATTGTCATATACCATGATCCATTTAGGCAATTTGGTAGCAAATAGCATAATTTTTATATAAAACGTTAGAGTTCTAGCACTAAATTTTTCCATAAAAGAATAGTATATTTGCAGAAAATTAAATACTTTTAATTACTAGAATTCATTCAAAAAAATACTTTTTCATTAAAAAAAAAAAAATTTCAAAAAATTTTTCGCTTTTATCAACAATTAATTTAGCAAATACAGTCAATTCGCTATAACTCGAAATACGATAACTCGAATATTACCATAACTCGATTTTTTTATAAGGTCCCGACCCTTTTATCTTCAATTTCATGTTAATTATTCTCGATTACTCGAATTTTACTCCCTTTAACTCAATTTTTTTGGGATCTTTTGAAGCAGGAAAAAAAACCTAGGAGCTGATATCTTGCCCCTTCCTTTGCAACACACACACAATGTCTTTCGCACTCTTCATGGAGAAGCTAAAGCTGTCCCTCTTGAAGTATGTGAACAGT